TTATGTCATCCACACATGATTATACCACAGAAGCCACTTCTTGTTCTTCAAAATGTCACATGCATATGAAAAATAGCAATGTTACCTGATAATAGTCATTGCTATGTCACTAATTTCATTAATAAGCTATAATTATTCTGCTTTAACCCCTAGAGAATCCATTTTTTCTTCACCTTTTCCTAGCTCTTCCTCTCACATATTGTAAATGGAAGAAGTAAAGATATGAGAGTAAATAAATAAAATATGAACTTTTGTGAATTATACACAAAATATGTTTCACGGATGGTCCCCAATTCATTCCTTCATTCCTGTGCTGTTACAGTACCTGGATCTCTGGGTTTCAAGAAAGAGTGTGCTACGTGGGTGGCCAAAGCACTCACTGATGATCAAAGACGATTTGGGGTTACAGCCCAAACCTTTTTGGGCAAATACAAAGCAGAAGGTGAGAAGGCGATATATTATTGACAGAGATCAACACCACACATCAAACATTTGTTCATCATTACGAACGTGAAAGCAGTCAAGCTTCAATCATCACTACCAACACCAAAATTTCAAGTCACATCCCTATATCAGGAAAGTGTTGATGATGATATTGCAGGACCAGAAAAGTGTTCCTTTCATGTGTTTAAGTGTTGACTGTTAAACAGCTCAAAGTAATGATTTCAGAAAAAAAAACTACGAAAGAATAAGGCAGTGCTTCCAAGAAGAATGAATTAATTCACAGCTAATCGTGATTCAGCGCATCTTTATAAAGGGCAGAACCTCTGCTTCGATACTGTAGATGTAAGCAGTCATATACTGTACTGTAGAGATTCACTTTAAACTTTTTGGTTTTTCTGTCTATATCAGTTACATTTAAATTCTAGCAGCAGAGACACCAAACAAGATGATTTTGCAGATTATCCTAAAATACAGTGAATAGCAATTACAGAAAAAGTGGCAAGTTAATGACAAAAAGATTATGGCAAAAACACAGACTGAGCAGATACAAGGCAAATGAAATTTAACATCAACAAGTGCAAAGTGATCCACCCAAGAATATACACAGGGTTACACACAGGGATACTGTATACTGTACACTATGCTTGGATGTCACAAGGATGATTTTGACCTATAGTAAGCATACTGTATAAGCAACCTGGGTGTTAATGCAGATCCTTCAATGTCCCCATCAAGACGATAAACCAAGTTCAGTCCTTGGGCATATCAATTGAATTTATATCAAGACCAGGAGATGCTCAATTTTTAAAATGCACTACACTACTACTCTTTTTTGTACTGGTTTGGTCACAATGGCACATAAAGGATAATATAGAGTTAAAAAGTGCTCAGAAAAAAGAGACAAGATTGGTTCCTGTTCTGAGGGGAATCATCATATGGATAGAATAAAGGAGTTAATTATCTTTAGTCTAGAATGAAGGAGAATGAGAATTGATTTGATCTTAGTACAGTATATAAAAGCCTTAAGTCACGGCTAAAGGTCAAAGTTCTTTAACCTGTCTCTGTAGGATACTCCTCTATGTTTACCTGTTAACTTGATTTTGATCCTGGTCTTTGAATTGATTCCTGAGCTACTATGTCTTTAAATGTAAATACCAACCAAAATTGCATACAGTATTCAAAACCTTGAAAGGAATTGGCAGTGTCAGCCCAAGTTTCCACCTCCAGTAAAGCACAATAATCTATGGGAACAAGTGATTATTAAGTGCTTTAAAGATTGGAAATAAAAGTATTACTTTACATACTTGCAGGCTATACAGCCTTTGCCAGGTTTTTATTTTTATTTTTAAGAATAGGTCTTATTAGACACTTGTATCAGTTTTATTAAACTGTAAATGAGGAATTGTAGGCACATGGCCCTGTCTCTTTTGAAAAACCTCCTAAGACCTTATTTGCCCTTTTTATACTATTTGGCCCACATCTTTGTGTTCCACACAAATAAAGAAATTAATGACTGATATGACTCATTTTAAGCAAATAAAATTAAAGGCCTGAAATTGAGATGACAGAATGACGGAAACCCCCTCCTTTATTCATGTTAAATGAATGTGACCATAGTAAATATCTACAGTATATGGCCATGGCATAACAACACTACCACCAAAATGAGACAGACATTGCAGAATCTGGAACATAAAAAGATTTTTTAAAATCATACAGGAATTCCAACTGTGTTTCTTTAAATCTTCAAGGAGGAGGTGTGACTTCCTCATCACAATCAAAGGCCCGTTCCTGACTTGTTTACAAACAAATCTTTATCTTTTTTTTCAGTGGGAAGTTTTGAGAACTTATATTTAGTCAGAACGGTTAATTAAAGAACCTATTATTACTTAATATATAAAATCCCCTGTGCAGGAAAGTTATTTTTTTTGCAAATTACTCTTACATAAAAATAAAAAAAAACATTTATTAATGGTGCATATGGTTTTGTTTTCTCTGTTGCAGTTTGCCAGATGAGATTAATGGAGTTTGTGTTCTTGATGAATCTCTCGATTTTTAGGCTCTGGAGTTGGTAAGCATTACACTGTCTTTTTCAATTTGTGGGTGAGGTGGCAAGAATGCTTTTCTCGAGTTAAAAGGGTGAACATTTGCTGCAGCACACCTACTGTAGTTGGTCTTTTGCATGTTCCTGATTCTGTAGGTAATGCTGCAAGTCCTGGCAATTAACATGTATTTAATGAAGGTACAACAGAAAATGAACAATTTAATCTTGAAAACAACATGCATCACAAGTGCAGGGTAGAATTAGGAATTGGTATATTTCCTATTGAACATGCCGTTTTAAAGTGAAAAAGTCTCCAACACAATCAAACTTAACTTCAAAAAGCATTATTATTATGATGTGGGAGTATAGGAAGTATTTAAGTATGTTAATAGTATTCTATTTTTACACCTGTACTATTTGCGGAAGAGAGAACAAAGGATATTTAAAGCTTTCAGCCGAGCAACAAAACAAAGGGAAATGAGACATTACACAAGGTAAAAGATGTCAGCAACATTTTAACCATTTGCTGTGTTTTTGGGAATGAAGAAACATTTTCCTAATTTCCGTTTTATAGGACTTGTACAAAGAGTATTTTCAAAACAACTACTTATTCTTCCCTGTAAAAACCTAGATTAGACAAATAGCAAAAAAGCAAGTTCTAGTTTGCTGTATGTCTATAATGTAGACGAGAGAAGATAAAGTACTGTATGTCTTTACACAGGATAAAATGTAGACTGAGTGATCGGCAATCTGAGCACAAAACAATAGATCATTTTTATGCAGTATAATCTGTGACCAAACTGGGTTATTATTTCACTAAAATTTTAAGAAGTCAGGGACTGTAGGTAGTGAAATTTCAAAAGGGGCATTAAATAAATAACTTAATACATCTTTAGGGCAATTATTATTATTAAGTTTTTAATTCTTGAAAATCTCAAATTATCATAAACTGTAAATATAGAAATCAAAGCTCTTGAATTTAAAATCTAATCAATACATTATTTAAAATAACAGAAACATCTCAAATTAAATAAAAATGAACAGCAGTAAAGTGATAGATTTATCATTCTGATTCTTACAGCTCTTTTGAAACGACAAGGAAAATTACAATTGCATTATTAACATATCACTATTTTTCTACACACTAACAGCATCAGAAAGTAATTCTACTTTAAAATAAACTAAATACTCAAATATTTAATTGAAAAAAACAAAGAGCATCTAGTCCTATGACAATTAAACAAATATAAAAAAGTAACAAAAATATTACTGATTAGCTTCAAAATTATTAATACAAAGTAGCTTGTGTTTTATAAACTGTGACAGATTATGAATTTAGGGTGCCTAAAAGTATTACAACTTGTCCTGCAGTTAGACCATCTCAATCTTTTATTTCATATTGTAGTTTGAAATAAATGCTGCAATGCTGTTTAATACTAGAGATATAATAAGGTCTAGTAAAATGAGTAAAAAGAAATGTAAATATGTAAATATAAATTGTTTATAGGCTCACCAGACAGTACGGAGTAGCCAGTGATACCCAGTTGTGTGACTTTCAAACTGTATGTTAATGATGGGGTTAGTGTAATCATATTTGAAGAATTGTATTACAGGAGAAACAAATGTCACTTACTCAAAAATATTTCTAGGTGTGATGTAAACAGTATTTCACTTCTGAATAATGAACTTTAAGTCTTATCATTCAACCCAGTAAAAACTTAACAGAGAGTGAGGAAGGGTGTTTCAACTTGTTGCTCTCCATAGATGTGCTCGCTTGCTTCTACAGGTGTTTTGATTTAATATAACCACTCATTCCTGAACACATCAATTTTGCTTCTTGTATCAAAGGTTAACAAATTAAAATGTTTTTGCAATTTAGAAGTACACATAAGCACTATAGCTTAGCATTTCTTTTAAACAACTCTTATTAGATTTAAATATGAAGAATCACAGTATCATTAGCATACAGTAAATATGAGACAATAAAAATTAACCTTTAAATCATTTAGGTTTTTCGTTTTACAACAAAACCATCGTTGGCTCTAAACAGCTGTTTAAGTTTAACGAAAATGAGAATGAGCATGTCTTCAGATAGCAAGTAAAGATATTCAAGTTCTTAGTTAGCCTTTCATGTATACACCCACAAGGAAAAATTCTTATACCACAAAAGAAATCTTGTCACGCAAACCATTTTTTTTCAGAATCAGACACCAGTGAGTATTAATTGTAAAACCCATGAAATTTGCAGCACTTTTCCTTAAGGTATTTACTTTAAAATACTACTACTACGCTTTTATCATTTGAATAAAAAAATAAGACTTTTTTTAAATAAATGGAAACTGTGAAAAATATCCCATCATTGAATTAACTTGAAGATTGTTTAATCTAACTATACTTTTATAAAGTCTTAGAATTAAAAGATAGAGATACTTATATCCATTTGAACACTCCTCCTTCTCAGTACTATAAGGAGATTGCATGGTTCTCACTTAATAGGAAGTGGTACTTGGACTTGCTGCAGACAACAGAAGTCTGAAAGCTTGTACAAAACAAACGCCACTGAACAGTTATATCCGTCTGTCACTCACAGATAAAGCTCAGGTAAGAGACTTCTAAACTACAGAGGTAGAGATTTTACATTGCAGGCATAAATTGTATTGATGGATTTGTTCTGTTAACTGATGTAACTGAGTTATTGTGCAAAATTGTACTTTCGTGTGACTTTTTTTAAATCAAAAAGATGTGAACTTAGATGTCAAAAGCTGGCAATGATTTCAACGTGACACAGAAAGAGATAATAGTAGCCGTCACACTTATAGTTTTATTATCCAATAAACATCATACATTAGTCTTTCAAGCAAGCGGAAACTCAACTGTTTGGGTTTCAGCTATTTCAGAAAAACATGACAAAAGTCATAGCTCTAAAATTGATTTGTTGGAAATGATGCTATGTGAATGAGAGACATACTTCTCTTAAATCTGCAAACCATGTCAACTGCTGGTTTCTAAATCATGTAGACTACATAGTAAACAGACATATCAAAACAGACTAAGTGTAGGGGGGTATTCTGTACCCACACAAGTGAAAAAAGAAAGTGGTTTTACACCATTAGTCAAAAAATCCTACAGGCACAAGATGTGAAACTTACCAGCAACATATAACAAAGGCTTACATTTCTTCTCCTATCATTCAGAGATGTTTTCCAATGCAAAAGACAGAGGCATTACATAAGTTTTGTGGCCTTAACCTAAATTGAAATGACATCTCTTTTAACATGAACAAATAATTTAATAAAAGTTATTAAAACTACTTAAAACGTAATTTACAAAATTGTGCTTCTAAAGAAATGTACAAATATTTCTTGGTTTGTGCTGGGTGAGACCAAAAAGCCACCTAAAAGCTACAGTATATCAATTGTTGCAGAAATACGTTTGGTTAGTCAGATGTGTTTTGGAGAAGCACAGGAACAACTACATATTGAGTAATTTGTTTGTCTCGGCTATGCCTACTTACGAGTACTATGCTTGAAGTCTGTGTTACTATTTTATGTTCATTTTAAAGTTAATTACCGCCGTAATTAATTCCTTTGTGATTTCTCTGGTGAACAATACTGAAAAGATGTCATGTGCCATTCCTGAATTCTCACATTTTTTTGTCAGGCCACTAAGCTAATTGTAATTTCTGATTTATAGAGACTTCCACTTCTGTTGTGCCGTACTCTAATGTTGCTCTAATGTTTAATCTGATTTATTTTATATAATTTTGGGTGTTTCATTTTACTGGTGTTTTATTTAGTGTTGCGTTTTAAGTCTCACTTAAATCACGCAAAATATACGATGTACAGTAGATTCTGAAAATAGTATTTGATTTTGACAATGTAAATAACCCTCTGTAAATTTACCGGTGTTAATCTGTTACTTTGGTTAATCCCAAAATGCATTAAGTAATTCATTTTGAAAAGTATTGTATTCTGCCAAAAATGTGGTCAAATGGTCCTCCCCATGAAACAACACATGTTCTCTGTTTCAGCTTCACCATGAACAACTGCTCCTATGACGCTGTTAACACCTTTGCCAATTCACTACAGTTAGTCGTCTATATCCCCACCTTCGCTTTGGGCCTTATCCTGAACTCACTGGCACTCTTTGTGTTCTGCATCCAGCTGAGGAAGTGGACAGAATCAACCATTTACATGACTAACCTTTCACTAATGGACCTCCTGCTCCTGCTCTCCCTGCCTTTCAAGATGCACGCATCCCAGAACGAATGGTCTGTCAACAAAAAAATGTTCTGCACTTTCCTGGAAAGTCTTTACTTTGTCAGCACGTATGGAAGCATATACACAATCATGTGCATCAGTATTGACCGGTACATTGCAATTAAGCACCCTTTCAAGGCCAAAGTCTTGAGGTCGCCAAAAAAGGCACTAATAGTCTGTGCTGTCATCTGGGTTGTAGTGTGGACAGGAACATCCCCTGTGTATAGTTTTCACAAGGATAAAGATGCTAACCTGCTCCGATGCTTTCATGGCTTTTCGGAGGAGTCTTGGAATCCTGCAGTTATCATCAATCTGGAAATCTTTGGATTCCTAATCCCAATGCTGGTGATGGTCTTCTGTTCCATCCAGATCATTAGAACACTTAAACAATCACAGCGGAACCCTGACATGCAAAATAATAAGACTTGTATCAGAATCATATATGCCAACCTGTTTGTATTCTTGGTGTCTTTCACACCAAGCCACCTGGGGATTTATCTGCAGTTCCTTGTTCGCCAAAATTATTTTAAGGAGTGCAATACAACAGAAAAGATCAGCCTTTTTGTTCAAATAACCATGTGTCTGGCTAACATCACCTGCTGTCTGGATGCGATTTGTTATTACTTCATTACAAAGGAACTCCGCTCATCATCGAAGGATAATATCAGAAGATTCCGAAGCCATAGGGTTAACACTATAATGACTGAAGTGTGAACAGACGTTTTCTAAATGCATAGAGGCACTGAGCATGGGTTACAGGCTCATAAACAATGACGGATCAGTGTACGCAGCAGTGGTTGTTTGAATATGCATACTTTCAGATAATGTGTGCATTGACAATGGACATCTTTTATCCTTTCGACTGCTGTATTTATATCTGATTAAAAATGAAGTGGGATCTTCAAGTCTTCTTTAAGGCCACTATTAAATCATCAGTGGTACTGCAGAAGAGGTGTGTGCTCATAGAGATTGACTTTGGAAGTTCATAAAGCATCTTTTGGATACAATATTGAAAGAAAAGAGTGTTACTGTGTGCAAGAGATTACTTAAATAGCCATTAAACATTAAGGAAAAAACTTTAAAAATAATTATTTAAACCTGGGAGAAATAAGACTTCACATGCATTTATGTACAGAAAATTGTGAAAACATCACTTTGGTTATTGAAAATCGTTAAATATCAAAAAAGCAAGTCTTTCCCAAATTGATTCTATCCCATTTGTAATTAGTATTAAAGATGAATGTCTATATATTTTTGGATGCACTATATTTTGGTTGAATGCTGTTGTCTTAAATGTTAACTTTATACTACCATGCTACCAACTTTTAAGTTAAATTAAGTGGTTACCACACCCAAAAAAGGCAGAAGTGACAATGGGTTATGTTTTTGTACCTGTACATACACAAGCAATTATTATCTTTCTGTCAAGTTACTGTATGTATCATAAAATAATTATGTTGAACCTTAATTTGTTAGACCAGCACTCTGTTCAGGGTCTTAGTCAAAGATATGTGTTTTTAGCAACATTCAACTTTTGAACTTTCTGGTGGAGCTGGGTGGGACACTTTCTTAACATTCCCCTTCTGGCCACCTGATTGCTGTTGTGTTTTCAAGACTAAACTAAAACCTATCAACTAGGCCTACACCCACACTCATACCCCAGTTCCACTTACCACCTACTCAAGTGTAGCCACTCCCTTTATGGGTACACACTACTTCATATTCTCTTTTTTCACTTTGTTGAGTATACCTTTTAGCGATTGACACACGATAAGTCAAAGAACAAGTGTGATCTTACAGAAGTCAAATACGGTACAAGCACACATGACTGAATTTCAGCTGTCTGTTCAGCTGCATGAGACTTTTTTGAGAATTAGTTTAGAATATGTTGTAGAAAATAGTTATGGGTCACTCGCAATCAGATTTACACTTTTAGGCAAGTTACACCTCTCTCCTAACAACATGGTGAATTCTGTGAGTAAGCTGTTTTGGTTTATCTGAATGACTATTGAACTGAATAGGAATATTGTAGTTATAACTCATCCTCAGGAAAATAAAAACAATTACTTTGAATACTGATGTATACAGTTCAACACCATATACTGACTTGTGTATACTCTGATCAAAAGATGGAATGTCAACTTTTCAATATTAAAACGTTTATCTAAAAAACACCATTATATTATTTAAGCTATACTGTATATTACAATGTGGATATGTTGTTTTTCATTTTGTTTTATAATCTTAAAGATTAAAATATTCTGAAATACACTTTAAGATAGCATTTAATTCAGAAGGATTAAATTGTAGTCAAGAAAGGTAATAATTGTTTGTTACATTAGCTACATTAAGATAATTATTTGAGATACTCAGCCTACTCCCAAAATTTGAATCGGCTTCAACAAACTATAAATGCCAGATCATTTAAGATGCTAAGCTCAGTTAAGCATTAGCACAGAGCAGCAATTAATTGTCCCATGTGTTTCTCCTATGCTCCATTCATTCGTGTACTGTAAGTCAAAATAAGAACACTAGAATGATTATGAACAAGAGGAGGTAATTGAATTTATCAAACCAGTCTGGTGGTTAGTAGCTCCAGTAAAATATTCAAATTTATCATCTTGAAAGAAGCCAGGGTAGCAACTTCAACAACATGGTTTGTTAACATGATCCATACTCCCACAACCCTTAAGGTAAGTATCTCCAGTTTAACATTAACTTCCATGGACAGTACATCTGGTCCCTGCTTCAGTGTTCATTCTCAAGAAGTCCAGAACAAAGTTTCTGAACCACTTGTGTACATCATTCTTGGGCAGCCTAACTACATGTCTGTCATAACAGATTTATTCTTTGTGAATTTCTTCTTGCGAGTCCTGTGAAAACTGACTTTGTGTTAATTAGCTTTCGTCTGACTGGTTGACAACCGTTAGACTAGTTTGCAAGTAACGTGCGGAGAACTGAAAAGGTGTTAATTGTATGCAGGAAGGCTAACAGCCTTTTCTTATTTCCATAATACAGTTCTCTGTGGCAAGTAAAGAACAGATTTGATACTTGAAAATATGGTGGTTAAACCAGTAATCCAGTCGTCTGCAGTTTGTGCAACATGGGAAGCACCCTGGATGACCCACAAGAGCCGAACTACATCTGTGGTGACTGCTACAAAATCCAGGACTGAAGGAAAAGGTTAATACTGAAGACCAAATTAAAGGCACTCAATGGGTGCAGCATTCAGGGAAGTGTGCACCCTGAATTATCAGAGAAACTTGGAGACTGAGAGAAACTGGTCCCACTTGGTGAAAGGGAATAAATTCCACCAACCCATCCAAAGAAACCACCCAGCATGACAACACTGACCAAATCTGCCCCACTGCAGGACCTGGGTTCTGACATGACAACTCAAAACCACGACACCTCTATCACTGGCTGGAAAACTCAATCACTGGTCTCAAGAATCCAAAATGAGAAGTGGTAGTTCTCAGAGCCTCTACTCTGTGAAACACTAGGGCTTAGATTTGCACTAAAAACCATGAGATGGATGGAAATCATTACCCAGAACAAATTTTAAACAACTTGGCAAGAAACTAAGGAAAAGGACTAAAACTCATTTTCTCAGGACACCCACTAGCACCAGGCAAATGTGAAAAACAGCTAATGCTAATCTGTCAGCACTTCACACTGGTGAGGACATGACTTACAGACATCTACAGAAGAAGGCTTCAGCTTTCTGGACCACTGAAGACCTTTCTATAACAAAGGACATCTATACAGACATGATTATATCACAACAATTAAATTAGATGGGCTCCATCTTCCCGTGAGTCCAGAAACATTTGAACTAGAATGAATGAAGGGAGAAACCCAAGAAAATTGAAAAGGAAGTTAGATGTGGAACAGAGATCGAGAGAAACAAAGAGAAAAAAAACCTAACAAATGATTGAGTGATTAAATGCTTGTACCTGAATGTCGGGTACACCAAACAAATTAGGTGAGACAAATGTTGAAAATGATGGAGAGGAATGTAGACTCAATAAAATACATTCCAAAGGTTTGTAATGATGTAGTGTCAGAGTACGAACAAGAGGAAATGCTTGTCTAAACCTTGTATTTTTAAACAATCAAGACAAAGTCAGGAATACAGATGTGAGAGAAATATTAGGGAACTGTGATCATAATATATTTTGAACCTGTACAGGTTGGGTCCAAAGCAAAAGTATACAATTTCTAAAAATTACAGACTTTGAGGGAATGTGACGCAGTGTAAGGGAAATAAAATGGGATCGGATAGATGCGTAATCACTGCATTATAGACAGCAACAGTGTCAACTGACTCTGCTTGATCCAAAGAACAAATTTATCCCAAAAGTGAATAAATCAAAAGCTTAAAAACAGCATCTAAAATGTTAGCATCCAAAATCCAAAAAATCAATTGGAAAAAAATATATAGAAAAAGAGAGTGCTTTATAAAATGATGAAAAAAGACAACCGGAAACACATGGGAAAAGGGATATTAGAAAGACAGAAATTGAAAGGAATATTGAAATGGCAGCTAAAATAAATATGTTCTTTCAGTACTAAACAATTAAAACATATCAGGAACAATACTATGAAATGTCTAGACAGTGAAAGGGAAATGGTTGAATAGTTCAGTCAGGTGTTCAACGAAGAAGTTAACGATATAATAATAATAATAATTGCTTGCACTTACGTAGCACTTTTCTGGACACTCCATTCAAAAAGCTTTACAGGTAATGGGGCCACCACCAATGTGCAGCATCCACCTGGATGATGCGACAGCAGCCATAGTGCCCCAGAACACTCACCACACATCAGCTATCAGTGGAGAGGAGAGCAGAGTAATGAAGCCAATTCATAGATGGAGATTATTAGGAGGCCATGATTGGTAAGGGCCAATGGGAAATTTGGCCAGGACACCGAGTTTACACCCCTACTCTTTTCAAGAAACATCCTGGGATTTTTAATGACCACAGAGAGTCAGGACCTCGGTTTTACGTCTCCTCCGAAGGACGGCACCTGTTTAAAGCAACACAAGAAACTAGTGAAACAGGGAACTAGATCAGCATTGCAGTACTGTATATATACAGATAGCTCAATGCAAAATTACTTCCACAGCACATTTTCAACCATTTTCAGAAGTCTTGTCTGGAAAATTACCTAGGTAAACAAAGCAAACAAAGAAAATCCTTATTGGAAAGAAAGTTCCACAGAGCACATACACTGAACTGATAGCTGTGAATATAAATAAAAGGAAAATTAATGGGTTACATAAATGAGACTTATGAAGTAATTACCTTTGAACAATCGAACTTACAGATTTTTTGATTATCTGCGAATAAGAAAATATTGTCCTTATACTGCAATGTATCTGTTATAGAACAACTGTAATCTCCTTAGGTGGGTATACAATAAGTACTGTTGGTTTACAAAAAGCCTGTGGAAATATACTGTATTAATAAAATCAAATACCACAGCAGCAATCTTTTTGTACTTCAAACAAAATGTGTTTTATGTCACGCTCAGCCAAGAAAGTAGCGGTTTAAGTATATTGTAGGTTGAAATAGTCCACCAGTCTGATCATGAGATGTGTGACTGTGACCCAATGGCCAAGTAGTGAAACACAGTTGTCAAAGCAGGGCAGAGTGTGTGTTAGTCAACATGGCATTTGTCAGATTGCGGTTAAATTGCAAAGTCAGGTGTTACAAAGCCTGTATGTAACAGGCTTGCAATAAAGTCAGTAAGAGAGACATCACTACTCCAATCAGTGTCAAGAGAGTGGCTCAGCAATTTCCCTGTTGTAGTACAGGACTTCCAGCCAAAAGTCGAGTCTTAAACAATTTGCAATCTCCAACTGGGTGGACAGACAATAAAAAATAATTGCCAACATCAAATTTATGTAAAAAAGCGCTTTTTGTTGACAGTATTTTTCAGGATGCCAAAACAAGTTGCCATACTCTCTCTACTCCGCTCACTGAGCTCCACCTACACTGAATCAACTGCACAGGCCTCTGTTGCTAACAAACGCTGAATTCTCTGCACCACTATTTTCTGTTTGCCCAGCCTGATTTCAGTGTGCTCTGCAACTACCATGTGGGTTTTCTGTTCTCCTTTTCTGAGCTGCTGTGTGTTTCATAAATTTCTATGTAAAACACACTACTTGTGAGCAGGTACAGTTTGTAATCAGTCCAACAAAAACACTGTTTATTAGTTTTCCAACAAAGAACGGTCTCAGAATTAGTTTTCCGGCAAAGAATAGTTTTGATATTGCAGTATTTTGGAGCTGCACAGTAATAAATGTAGCAAGATTATTTAATTCCTGGATGTAACATTGTTTACAGATTAATTCACAGATTATGAAACTGTACCAGAATGGCTATCCTACATTGTTATGCCCATTGGTACAATGTTCATAAGTATATAAAAATGTGGATCTTACATTTCACCTATGGTTTCATATCAATGAAGATATACTGTACTCAACAAGGATCTTTATATACTCTATGTATTTGTGTGAGCTTGTAGATTATTCATTCTCTAAAAAGA